GAACTCAATATTAAGTCCAGAAGGTTGTAAAGCGCCTCATCTAAAGATGAGATATTGTTCCTCCACTTTGCACTGTGATTCGCTTGAGCACTGCAGCATGCTGAGGACAGACAAGTGGGCATGCGAGCAGGATGCTGTGTTAAACTGACTGGCTATGGGAAAGTCGGGTCATGCTTGTGCACAAACCAGATGTGTTCTGCAAAGCGGTCACCCAGTCTGCATTTGGTTTCTCCAACGGAGAGTAGGCAATGTTGGGTGCAGCAAATGCAATACACCAGACTGGAGGAGGTACAGGCGAAATGCTGCTCCACCTGGGAAGACTGTTTCGGCCTTTGGATGGTGAGCAGGGAGGAGGTGAAAGGGTCGGTGTGGCACCTTCTGCGGTTACATGGGAAGGAGCCGTGGGAGTGAAGCGAAGCTGTGTTTGCTGGTGGTGTTCTGCTGGAGTTATCTGAAATGGCAGAGAATGATTCTTTGAAATGAGGAGGCTGGTGGGGTGAAAAGTGACGACAAGGGGGACCCGATCACACTGTTGTGATGATGGGAAGGGGCAAGGGTGGAAGCGCAGATGATACGTTGGATGTGGTTGAGGGTCCCATCATCCACAGTGGGTGGGAAACCATGGTTATGAAAGAAGGAAGCCTTATCTGCAGAGTTGGTTTGGAAGTTGGCATCATCCAAACAGACATGATACAAATGAAGGAAATGGGAGAATGGGATGGAATCCTTGCAGAACATGGGTGCGAAGAGCTACAGTGAAGGTAGCTATGGGAGTCAGTAGCTTTGTAGTGGATGGCAGTGGACAGTTTATTCTCTGAAATGGAGGCAAAGGTCAAGGAAAGGAAGGTAAGTGTCGGAAATGGACCATGTGAAAGTTATAGAGGTGGAAGTTAGAGATAAAATGAACAAATTTTTCAAGGTCCAGACGGGAGCATAAATCAGAACTGGAACAGTCATCTATGTACCGAGAAATGAGGGTCCAGTGTAGGATTGCAACAAGGATTGTTCCACATACCCCATAAACAGGCAGACATAACTGGGACCCATGTGGATGTCTGTAGCCACTCCTTTTACTTGGCAGAAGTGAGATAGATGAATTAAAGGAGAAATTGTTCAGTGAGAGAACAATTTCAGCCAAGTGGAGGAGAGTAGCGAAGAATGGGGATTTTTCAGATCTCTGGCTGAGGAACAAGCCGAGAGCTCTCAGGCCATCCTGGTGAGGAATGGAGGTTTTGGGGGATTGGACATCCATGGTGAAGAGAAAGTAGTTGGGGCCAGAGAACTGGAAATTGTCAATATGGTGGAGGGCATCAGAGGAATTGTGGATGTAGGTGGGCAGGATCTGAACAAGGGGAGAGGGAATGGAGTCAAGGTAGGAGGAAATGAGCTTGGTGGGGCAGAAACAGACTCGTACGATGGGCCTACCAGGACAGTCTGGTTTGTGGATTTTGGGAAGGAGGTAGAAGTGGGCTGGCTGGGATTGGGAGAGTATAAAGTTGGAGGCAGTGGGGGGACAATCTCCGGAGGTAAGGAGGTCGCTGACAGTCCTGACAACAATGGCTTGATGTTCAGATGTGGGACATGATCCAGGGGGAGGTAAGAAGAAGTGTCTGAGAGTTGGTGTTCAGCCTCCACAAGGCAAAGATCAGTGTGCCAGACTACAATGGTACCACCCTTGATGGTGGGTTTGATGACAAAGTTAGGGTTGGACCCTAGGGAGCAAAGTGCGGCAATTTCAGAAGGGGACAGGTTAGAGTGGGTGAGAGAAGCAGAGAAATTGAGATCGACGATGTCACGCTGACAGTTTTCAATGAAGAGATCGAGGGCAGTAAGAGGCCAGAGGAAGGGCTCCAAGTGGAGGGAGCATGCTGGAGGCAGGTGAAGGGCTCAGTGGAAAGGTGGGGATTCCTGCTCGAAGAAGTGAGACTGGACATGAAGGCAGCAGCGAAACAATTCAACATCATGGTGAGCCCAAAATTCAGTAAGGTGGGAGTGTAAGGAGGATAGTACACTCAGCCTCAGACAGGGGAAGGTCAGGAGGTATGATGAAAACATGGCAAGGGCTGGCGTTGTGGAGGTGACCTCAGGGGACAGAAAGGAATGACATCTGAGGGCTGGGAAGGGGTGGATGCTAAGGGACAGTGAGAGATCAGCTCAGAGATTGGAGGGGATAGGGTCCGGAAAGGGGAGGGCGGAGCAGATGGGTGTTGGAGTCTATATGTTGCTAGAGCTTGCGTGTCTTGATACCTGGAAGAAAAAGAAAAAGTCTTTTGTTGAGACGATGGATGAGACAAAGGATGAAGGGAAATTGAGAAACAGCACAGCTTTGAGAGAAGGTGAATTGATGTGGCTGCATAGTGGAATAGCGTGTGTGTGTATGACAGCGTATGGCACTGATCACAAAATGTGGTGGGAACAGCAGTCTGAAGAATGTTGTATATCCTGGAGATACTTGCAATCCTGGGTGGATTCGAAACATGAAGGGTGAAACTTGAGTTGAAATCCATGTGGGCCAAGTGCGAGTCGTTGCCATTTGCTGAGAAAGGAAACGTGCCTATGAAAGTGAGTTTTCCAAACAGCTAACTGAATGCCAGCAGAGAACTGGAAAACAACAAAGGTGTACACGGTGAAATAGAGAGCCAGAATTGCTGTCAGAGAGGAAAGCAAAACATCTTCAGGGTGTGTATTTCTTGAAGAGATGTGGCAATCAATTAAACACAATGTGGAAGCAAATTACTGCAGATGCTGGATTCTGTACTGAAACCAAAAAATGCTGGAAATCACAGCGGGTCAGGCAGCATCCATGGAGAGAGGGCAAGCTAACTTTTCGAGTCCAGATGACTCTTCATCAGAGCTGATGTGAAGTGTGGAGGGGGGATGGAGTGCTGGGGGAGAAAGGGTATCGATAGTGCAGGTTAAGTGATCAGAATGTGAGAATGGCAGAACAATGCTGTGTTTAACTATCAAACTGGGAAGAAAAGATAGTCCCACTGGAGTTGAAGGAGGGGACAGAGGACATGGTGACCCAGAACATGACAAGTAAAGCTAAAAGGAAAGGAATGGGGGTGAGTTCATAATCTGAAGGTGCTGAACTCAATATTGAGTGTAGAAGGTTGTAACATTTGACAGCTCTGTTCAAAAGTCTGATTACAGCAGGGAATGAGCTCTTTTTGTATCTGTTCATGTGTGTATTCAAACTTCTGTATTTTCTGCCCAATGGAAGAGGGTGGAAGAGAGTATAACCAGGGTGGGAGGAGTCTTTGATTATGGTGGCTGCTTTCCTGAGGCAGTAGCAAGCATAGATGGGGTCAATGGATGGTTTGTGTACGGACTGGGCTGTGTTTACGACTCTCTGTAGTTTCTTGCAATCTTGAGAAGAGCAGTTACCATACCACGCTGTGACGCATCCAGATAGAATGTTTTCTAGGATGCATCTATAAAAATTGGTAAGAGTCATTGTGAACGTGCCAAATTTTCCTAGCCTCCTGAGGAAATAGAAACATGCTTTTTTGACTGTCGCTTTGATGTGGATGGACCAGGACAGATTGTTGGTGCTCATCACTTCCAGGAACTTGACACTCTTGACTATCTCCACCTCAGCACCATGACGCAGACAGAGACGTGCCCTCCACTCTGCTTCCTGAAATCAATGACCAGCTCCTTCATTTGCTTATGTTGATGGAGAGATTGCTGTCTTTACACCAATCTCTTGTACTCAATCTCTTTCTTGTGCTCTGTCTCATCATTGTTTGAAATCTGACCTACAACGGTGTGGCATCAGCAAACTTCTAAATGGAGTTGGGGTGGAATTTAGCCACATAGCATGAGTGTATAAGGACCATAGTAGGGGGCTGAGTACACAGTCTTGCGGGACATCGGTTTTGAGGGCAATGGTGGAGGAGGTATTGTTGCCTAGTCTTACTGATTGTGGTCTCTGGGTCAAGCAGTTGAGGATGCAGTTACAGGGGGTGGGGAGGGGGGTAGCTGAGACCTAGGTCTCGCAGTTTCGAAGTTGGAATTATGGCGTTGAAGGCGGAACTGTAGTCATTAAGTAGGAGCCTTACATAGGTCTCCTTGTTATCCAACTGTTCCAGGGATGATTGTAGGATCAGGGAGATGGCGTCTGCTATAGACCTGTTTCAGCTTTAGTGATTTGCAAAGCATCAAGGCAATCTGGTAGGCTGGAGTTGATGTGAGCCACAACTAACCTCTCAAAGCACTTCATAATTATGGAGGTCAGAGCCATTGGGCGGTAGTCATTGAGGTATGCTACATGATTTTTCTTTGGCACTGGGACTGCTCTACAAAGAAAGGAGCAATCTCTAGGAAATTCTTGTACATTCTGAAAAAATAATGCTTGGAAGTTTAATTACAAATAGTAAAAAAAAAAGCTAACAGTGCATTGTCATCTTGTGTATTTTGTTTTATTTGTGTTTTATATATATATGATTACTTTAAAAAGAAAAAAGTAATCTCATAATTTAATATGGTCAGAAGGGGACCTGAGATCTAATGGAATGAAGGAACATGTGATAGATACATTAATTAAAGGTAAATTGGATATGACTTTATTGTATAAATATGGAGTGCTAGTACAGTGAGGTGACAGTTAACTGAAATAAAGCTCTCACTAAAACTGTCAATGAGGACACTGTTCAAAAGCAGTTACCTTCTGGTGCATAAGTCAAAATACACATTTTTTTCAAGAAACAGGCATTAGATTCTTCTTTATGGCCCTTAGCCATATGTAATATTGCTTCAGTTGAGGTAATTTAACTTATGGAAAGTGGAGATTAAACCAGGAACTTTTTTTTCCTTTCAGCTACATACAGCAGTACAATTACCAGCTGAACAATTAAGGAAAGTGGCAGAAATAGTTGTTTTTCCTTCATATTTACCAATAAAATGAAAATGTTCCCAGCAAAATAGCGCACTTTTTCATGGATATAATTTGTGGCTAATTCTACCTGCAACAGCTAAATGTCAATAGATTTTTTTACCTTCTACCTTAATCCAGACTTGCTCAGGTAAAGGTTTGCTTCTGTTGCAATTACTCAGTGCCTGTCTGGCAGATTGGAGTTCCTGCTGGAAACATAAAGAGAATGCCCTTGGCAGGGCAAGCTCCTGAGGGCTGGCAGATTCTAGAACATGTGCTTGAGTTCCTGCACCCTATTGAAGTCAATTAGATGAACCAGTTATCTGTCACAGCATTAAACTAACAGTCACTAAAACATTACCAAGTACCAATTATGTAAGCCATAATACATTTTTAATGTATCTGAACATTATAACATAATTAATGCCCAACTAGTGCTTATAACCACCTTAAAATTATTAAAGATCTGAATTTAATCTTGTACGTAAATTACGAAATAAACACAGACAGCATTGGATTTATAATGTATGGGCTAGTTGAGGCTTTCCACAATACATTGGCACAGTTTTCTTAAAACAAAACCGTCTTAGCGTCGGGAGATATCAGATACTGGCTGCACACTATCACCGAGTGGCTGGAACAGATGACAGTTGGCAGTTAATTTCAAAGTTTATAATTTCTATTATTATTTGAGATGCGTGCAAATTAGCAACAAGCTAGAAGTAGAAAAACAAATTCAGGGCGGCATGGTGGCTCAGTGGTTAGCACTGCTGCCTCACAGCACCAGGGAGCCAGGTTCGATTCCACCCTCGGGCGACCGTCTGTGTGGAGGTTGCACATTCTCCCAGTGTCTGCGTGGGTTTCCTCCAGGTGCTCCGGTTTCCTCCCACCGTCCAAAGATGTGTAGGCTAGGTGGATTGGCTATGCTAAGTTGCCCGAGTGTTGAGGGATGTATAGATTAGGTGGAGTTGGGTCTTGGTGGGACGTTGAGGTTCGGTGTGGACTTGTTGGACTGAAGGGCCTGTTTCCACACTGTAGGGATTCTATGATTCTATGAAACAGATGGCTCAAAGACTGGCATGGGAGAACCGAGTTCTGGTTTGTGGGCCGCTGACACCCATACCGGGGAAAGTGAATGCTTGATCTACACGAGGTGCTGGGGCCAGTGTTCCTGTGCACAGCATGACTGGGGAAGTAGAGAGGGTTATAACTACATAATGGGGGCAAGCAATCAAACATGGAAACATACAAAATTTCAAAGAATAGATATGAGGTAAGAGAGGAAAATAGTAATATGTCAAATGATGGTCAGAGAGTGGGAGGAAGAGGCAGTGGGAAAAAAAAGCACCTCAGGAAATCATAAACAATGAAGACTAGTTGTTACAATGATGTCAAAAAGATAAAACTGAAAATTCTGTATTTGAACGTGTATAGCATCCATAAAAAAATAACAATCTGATTGCATGCAATGAAGGTAATAAACTTAATTTGATTGCCATTACGGTAATGTGGTTTTAGGATGAATAATGAGGGGTATATGACATTCAAGAGATAAAAAGGAAGCCAGGTAAAGTTGGAGTGGAAGATCTGTTAATCAAGGATGGTGCTTGTGTAATAGTTAGAGATAAACTTGGTTCAGGAGATCAGAATGGAATTGGTTTGTATGGAAATAGGAATAATAGAGGAAAGAAGTCATAAATGGGAGTGGTTCGCAGGCCTGATGACAGTAAAACGGGACAAAGTAAAGAAGAAGAAAGGTTGGGTACTTATGATAAAGGGTTATCAGGAATTATGGGGTGGTTTTAATTGACCTATAAACTGGAAAAATCAGAATGGCAGTGGTAGCCTGAATGTGGAGTTCACGGAATGCTTTTGGTTAGTTTCTTACAACCGGATGTTTTGGAACTAACTAGAGAGCAGCTTATGTTGGACTTGGCATTGTATGTAGCAGTGACCATAAAACGATTGAATTTTACATCCAGATTGATAGGGAAATATTAGGTCCAAGAGAGGTATTTTAAACCTAAATAAGAGCAACAGTGTGGCCATGAAAGCTGAGCTAGCTGAAGTGAATTGGCATACTGGACCGGGGATAGATCAATAGTGACACACCAGCAGACACTTAAGGGAATATTTCAGAATATGGAATGTATGAGGAAATACATTTCAGAAGAAGCAACAAGACAAGGAAGAATTCAATGATTGGAAGACACTAGGAAGCTCAGATAAACAAAGGCTTTTGGTGCGCTTGTAAACAGATCCCTCAAGGCAGCAGGATAGGTTAATATGGTGGCTAAGAGGTCATGTGGGACATTTGCCTTTATCAGTCATAGCATAGATTATAAAAGCTGGGAAGTTATGTTGGAACAGTACAAATCTTTGGTTTGTACACAGCTGGAGTACTGCACGTTGTTCTGGTTGTCATATAACTGGGAGGACGTGATTGCACTGGAGAGGGTGCAGAGGGGGTTCACCAGGATGTTGTTGCTTGGGTTGCAGCATTTTAGTTATGAAGACAGGCTGGATAAGCTCAGGTGTTTTCTTTAGAGCAGAGAAAGCTGAGGAGGTACATGATTGAGGTGTGCAAGATTTTGAGGGGCATGGACAGGGTGATAGAGGAATAGCTGTTCCTCTTAGTTGAAGAGTCAACATAATTTTAAAGGTGAAGGATAGGAGGTTTAGAGGGGAATCTGGAATGCATTGTTTGAGAGGATAGTTGAGATGGGAAACTTCATAACTTTCACCAAGTGCTTGGATGCGTCCATGAAATGTCATTATTAATAAGGCTATGGGGCAAGTGCTGGAAAGTGGATTTAATGTAGATAGGTTGGCACAGGCTTGGTGGGCCAAAGGGCCTCTTCAGTGCTGTATGATTTTACTACAGAGTAAAGTTCCGAAGAAGGATCACTATCTGTGGTTAACTAAAGAAGTTCAGAAAAGCATCAAACTTAAAGAAAAAGCATATATCTGTGCAAAGAAAAGTGGAAGGTCATGTGATTAGTCAGGATATAAAGAACAGCAGAAAATTACTAAAAGGTTAATCAGGAGGAAGACATTAGAATATGAGAGGAAGCTAGCTGGGAATGTTGAAGTACATAGCAAGAGCTTCTACAAGTATTTACAAAAGAAATTAAAAAGAGTATGCTTTAAATGGAAAAAAATTACAGAAAGCGCCAACACAAAAGGACTTGGGAGTACTTGCGCATGAAACACAGCAAGCAAGCACACAGGTGCAGCAGGTAATAAGGAAGGCTAATGGAATGTTGACAATTATTTCAAGGGGTTTGGAATATAAGAGTAGGGAAGTCTTACTGCAACTGTAGAAGGTGCTGGTGAGACCACATCTGAAGGACTGTGAACAGTTTTATTAAAGGAAAAATATCATTTCATTGGAGGCAGTTCAGAGAAGATTCATTAGAATGATCCCTGATATGGAGGGATTGTCTTATGAGCAAAGGCTAAACAAGTTGAGACTCTACTCCTTGCAGTTAAGAAGAATGAGAAGTGATCTCATTGAAACATATAAAATGCTTAAGGGCTTGAAAGGATAAATGTTGAGAGGATGTTTCCCTGACAGGAGTGTCCAGGACCAGACAGTATAGTCTCAGAATAAAGGGACACCAATTTAAGACTCAGATAAGGAGAAATTTCTTCTCTCAGAGCATAGAGTGTCTTTGGAACTCCTTACCACAGATACCTGTTGGGGCAGAGTCCTTGTGTATATTTAAGATTGTAGGGGAATCAAGGGTTACAAGGAAAGGCCAGGAAAATAGACATGAGGAATGCTGGATCAGCCATAATCTGATTCAGTGGCAGAGCAGGCTTGAGAGGCAGAACAGCCTACTCCTGTTCCTATTGCTTAGGGTCTTCTGAAAAGGGTAAGTAACGTGAATGTTGATCCTCTAGAGAGTGAGAATGGGAAGTTAATAGTAGATAATAAAGAAATTGCATATGAAATGAATAAATATTTTGCTTCCTTCTTCACAATACAAAAAAAAATCCAGTAATAGCTCTAAATCAGAAGATGGAAGGGAGAGAGGAACTTAGCATTGGTGCATTGGCATTAATTTTCCTAAATTCCCTAGATTCAGAAATGTTCCACTAGACTGGAAAGAAGCAAACATGAACCTCTAACATGCTTTTCAGAAGGCATTTGCTAAGGCTCCATAACTAAGGCTACTGCAGAAAATGAGAGCTCATAATTTGGGGTAACATATTAGCATGATTAGAAGATTAGCTGGCTAAAACAGCATGCATAAACTGATCTTTTATTGGCAGAATGTGACAAGTGGAGTCCTGCAGTAATCTGAGCTGGAACCCCAATTTTGTTTTTACATCAATGGCTTAGATGAGGGAGTGAACACATGAAAGCTAAATTCTCAGACAACGTCAAGATAGGTAGGAAAATATGTGTGAAGAACACATATGGAAGTTGCAGATAAATGCAGATAGGTTGAGTGAGTGGGCAAAAATCAGGCAGATGGAAGATAATGTGGGAAAATGGGAAGTTATTCACTTTGGCACAAAGAAATAAAAAAGCAGAGTATGACTTAAGTGGAGAATAAATGCAGTTTTCTGGGTGCAGAAGGATTTAGGTGTTCTGATTGATGAGTCAAAAAAGTTAGTATGCATACACGGCATGAAATTAAGAAAGCTAAAGGGATGCTACCCTTGATCATGAGAAGAATTGAACATAAAAGTGAGGATATGACGCTTCAATAATACAGTATTGGTGAGATCACATCTTGAATACTGCGCACAGTTTTGGTTTCCTTATTTGTGCATGTTTACTGGTTTGATACCTGGAATGAGTGGATTGTCTTATGAGGACAGGTTGGGCGAACTGGATTTGTTTCCACTGGAGTTTAGAAGGGTGAGGGATGACTGAATTGAAATGTCTAAGACCCTGAATGATCTTGACAAGGTGGATGTGGAAAGGGTGTTTTCTCTTTTGGGTCAGTCCAGAAGTAGGGGCTACTGTTTTGAAAATTAGGAGTCACCCTTTCAGGACAAAGATGAAACTTTATTCCTGATGGTTGTGTGACTTTGCAGCAGATGGTGTTTGAGGTTGCATGATTAAAGATTTTTACAACAGAGGTGTACAGGTTCTTGTTAGGTAGACGAATCAAGGACAACTGCGGGTAGACAGGAATGCAACAGTTGTAACACAAGTAGATCAACTAGCTCAACCTATCGAATGGCGGAGAAGGATCAAGATGCCTAATTGTCTACTTCTGCTGCTATTTCTTATGTACATATTCGTTATGTACAAATGTTGATATAACAATTCACC